TGTGCCTAAAAGGTCATTGATGCCAGGTCGGTTCACAGAGGTCAGGTCACTAAGGGTCACACTATGAACCCAACTATGCTAGGGTCGTGCGATACATGTTTTATGGCCAATTTTACATTTAAAATTCAATGGTGTGGGCTAGACAGCTATTAAGGCCAGTTTAGATTACATTCTAGTGGAGTTCAGGTCAAGGTCAGGTCAAAGAAGGTCAAATTTCAAAGTTGATATTTTGCATAAAAGGGGTATCTACTCGACGCAGCTCATCACAGGAAATCCAGTGGTGTCTTTGGCTTGCTTTGTGTGTTCTGCGACGGCTAAAAATTGAAATTGAAACTTTTACGTAATAAGTTGAGTAGTAATAGACAAATATATATATTGAGACGGGTTACACAGCACATTGGGTGGACGCGTTTCGTCTAAATGACTTTTTCGACACCCTCTCGGAAATTAAAGTTTTAATTTCCGAGAGGGTGTCGAAAAAGTCATTTAGACGAAACGCGTCCACCCAATGTGCTGTGTAACCCGTCTCAATATATTTACGTAATAAATTTTAAATAGTTATTTTTTTTGGCATAACTTTGCTAAAAATGGAGCTATCGAGTTTAAGTTTGGCATATCTAGAGCAGATAGTTATATAACATAAATTTCAGTTTTAATTTTGAAAATTGTTGGTATTTTGGGGGTGTTATACTTCTATAGTTTTGATGGTCAAAATCAATTTTTGCTTGGAAATAAGAGTTAGCAGTTTGGTAGCGCTGTTTATTTTACATCTTGTTGATCTTGAATATTTTTCGTTATCTTCAAAACGGTAAGCGTGACAGCTCTTCCCGCTAAACCTTTTATTGAGTCGAAAATGACAGAGCATGAATCCCTCTGACGTCATTTGTGACTAACCTTTCATAAGAGCTCTGGAAAAATTTGGTCACAAGGTGTAAAAATGATGCCCGGAGGGGCCTTGAAAGTTTGGTGGCGACATTTGCTATACTTTAGGACAAGGCCCTAAATACACTTTAGGAGATATCGACTGAAAAGGAGAGAGGGGGCCGTTTCGCGCCGCCCTTCCCCCCCCCCCCCCTCAACGGGGCTTTCAGTTGCTGCTCTCACAGAACTCTTGGTTATATTACAACGTAGTGGAATTGTAATGGCAGTATGAGCTTCCTGCCAGCGCCGGACCAGAGTTTAAACATGCAGGCTGAATTTTAACATTGAACTTTTGAATTTTTAAACCGTTGAGCTTTTTAGAAGTTGTATAAAATGTTCAGCTCCTTTTTTGGTCCATCACAGCGGGCTTGTATGTCATTTGTCAACCAAAATCGAATTAAAAACTTTTTATTTGGCCTGGCTACCTCGCCAACTTCTTAACTGGATCGTTTAGTAGCTTTTGATTGGGCACTGCCCACGTTGTCTGTCTAGCTTTTCGTGTCATAGACACTGTCTATGACACGAGAGGAGGCTGCTGACATCGTTTGTCGCGGTTGGATAATACCAATCCACGTCCCAGTGGCTGCTCGATCGCACTTTCCCTGGCCCACCTCTCCCACCAGGCTAGACTTTGCCCGGCACAGCCGTCGCCTCAGTGCCTCGGGCGGTGACCCGTTCAAAGGGGCTCACAATTCGTATGGTGCCGTGGCTCTCAAACCAATACAGAACAGTGAAACGCAAAGGCTCACTTTCCATATAAGGCGAACGGCTGATTCTGGCGCCGGGGCTTCATTCATGCTAAGGCGCCCAATCACAGCGCCGCATTTCAGTTAGTGTCAGGCGCAAAAGCTACTATGCTCCGCCCCTCCATCACGTGACCCTGTCCTCACGTGGCCTCAGTCACGTGGTGTTTCCACTTCTTGGCGCATGGCGGCGCTAGTCTCGCAGGGGCGGTGGTAGCTTGCTCCCCCGCCGTCCGGGGGTGATGGGTAGCAACTGCTGGTGACTGTACCACACTGTACCTCCCGCTGTACCTTACCGTACCTCCCGCTGTACCTCCCGCGGTACCTGACCGCTCCTCCCGCTGTACCTGACCGCTCGTTCCGCCGGTCAGTGCCGTAAGCCGGTGGTGGCCGCCATCCACGGCGGCTGCGTGGGCGGCGGCGTGGACCTGGTCACGGCCGCCGACATCCGGCTCTGCTCCCAGGACGCCTTCTTCCAGGTCAAGGAGGTCGACATCGGTGAGTGGGGGCCAGAGCGGCGGCTGAGGGCCGCAGAGGGGTGTACATACAGTGCGAGTAAAGAGCAGCTGCTGGATGCCGAGTGTGGCCGACCTGGCGGCTGGCAGTATGCCGGTAAAGTCGCATGTGGGCTACCGCTCTTGATGACTTTGTTCTGTGTGATCTTATGCACTCTACTTTTCAAGTGTACTAATGTCTCGGTGGTCTTATCTGACCTGTGACCTGCGGTCTGACCTGAACTGTGACCCATATTCCGTAACCCTCACTGTACCCAGTCATGGTCTAATCTGCAGCCTTTCGATCTGTCTGACCATGGCTCCGTGTCATCTGTGACCTTTTTGTCTGTCTGGGCTGCGACCGTTTGCACACATTATGCAGATTGGTCTGGCTTATGACCTTTCGCTCTATCCGACCAATAGACCCCTGGTTTGCCTTAGCTTTGTCTTGGTCAGACCTCTATTCCTGTATTCCCAGGTCTGACCTCTGCCTCCCCGCGCTCCCAGTTCTGTCTGACCTCTGCCTCCCCGCGCTCCCAGGTCTGTCTGACCTCTGCCTCCCCGGGCTCACAGGTCTGACCTCTGCCTCCCCGCGCTCCCAGGTCTGACCTCTGCCTCCCGCGCTCCCAGGTCTGGCGGCCGACGTGGGCACCCTGCAGCGACTGCCGAAGGTGATCGGCAGCCGCAGTCTGGTGAACGAGCTGTGTCTGACGGCGCGCCGGCTCGGCTCCCAGGAGGCGCTGCAGTGCGGCCTGGTCAGCCGGGTGCTCAGCGACCGGCACAGGTCAGTACAGGGTGCTCCCAGCGACCGGCACAGGTCAGTACAGGGTCCTCAGCGACCGGCACAGGTCAGTACAGGGTCCTCAGCGACCGGCACAGGTCAGTACGGGGTGCTCCCAGCGACCGGCACAGGTCAGTGCTCAGCGACCGGCACAGGTCAGTACAGGGTGCTCAGCGACCGGGACAGGTCAGGACAGGGTGCTCCCAGCGTCCAGCGACCGCCACAGGTTAGTACAGGGTGCTCAGCGACCGGCACAGGTCAGTATTCAGCGCGCCCCGCTCCGCCTCTGGCGACACGGGTCACTCGGACCCAGTCCAAAGACCAGCGGATTCTGCACGATACAACTAGTGATGTTCGTGACCCAATGAACTTATTAAAATCTGGTACCTACCGTACAATAATCGGTAGTCAGGTCTGTCATTACAAAATACTTTTTTTTTGTAAAGGCTATCAACCTCGGACGATGAATTGGTTTTGGAGGGCGAGAACCGTGCGGTTCGTTACCACCGAGCAGTTGGAGTGGTTTCTACGCAGGCCGGCTGAAGCCCAGGCCGACGGCGAGTGATCTTGCGCCCAAAGGCATACAGGGCATTTGTCTACTGTTTGCTCATATCACGGAGTTGGTTTTCGCTTTTTGCTGATGGAGACCTGGGTCTGTTGAGCGTAGTTTTGCATTAGCTGTTTCCGTCGTGGCAGCTGGCGAGGGCGTATTCGGTATCAGGACCTGACGCTCGCGGATCTTTCACTTATGGCGATGTGTTTTATTTAAGGTACGTTAAATTCCATTTTGAAGGCTTTGCGGGGACGTCTTTCGCTGCTGCTGAAGGGTAACACCGTAGGTTAGAGAAAAAGAAATGAATTAAAGCACCCATTTTTGACGGGTGTGCTGACATGGCGTGTCCTAGCGCCCGGCCCGCCGTCTAGCGTTCGGTAAGTAATAGCGAAACAGCACTCTCCTTATCATAACGGGTAATGGGGCGTGATGCAAGCGCAATGATTTTTTTTGACAGGTTTTGTTGGAAAGATGGACTGATATAAGTGTATGTTACATACAATGGTCAGCTGCTGGTCACCCGTATAAAAACTGAATTTAGCATTTGTAGTGATTTAGCAAGGAGCAAGAAGGAATGCGACGAAGTTATTGAGCTGATCGGTAATGTTGCAATCTTGCCGATAGTCTTGTGTCTGACATACCGCAGTCTGACGCTGACTGCCCTCCCTCAGTCTGACACTACACTGACTGCCCTCCCTCAGTCTGACACTGACTGCCCTCGCTCAGTCTGACAGCGACTGACGCTGAGTGCCATCCCTCAGTCTGACACTGACTGCCCTCCCTCAGTCTGACAGCGATTGACAGTGACTGTCCTCCCTCAGTCTGACACTGACTGCCACCCCTCAGTCTGACAGCGACTGACGCTGACTGCCCTCCCTCAGTCTGACACTGACTGCCCTCCCTCAGTCTGACACTGACTGCCATCCCTCAGTCTGACAGCGAGTGACACTGACTGCCATCCCTCAGTCTGACGGATACTAACACTGACTGCCATCCCTCAGTCTGACACTGACTGCCCTCTCTCAGTCTGACACTGACTGCCCCCTCTCAGTCTAACACTGACTGCCATCCCTCAGTCTGACACTGACTGTCCTCCCTCAGTCTGACACTGACTGCCTTCCCTCAGTCTGACAGCGACTGACAGTGACTGCCCTCCCTCAGTCTGACACTGACTGCCACCCCTCAGTCTGACAGCGACTGACGCTGACTGCCCTCCCTCAGTCTGACACTGACTGCCATCCCTCAGTCTGACACTGACTGCCCTCTCTCAGTCTGACTCTGACTGCTCTCCCTCAAGCTGACACTGACCGCCATCCCTCAGTCTGACGGCGGCGGCGCTCAGTCTGGCGGCCACCATCGCCTCCAAGTCGCCGGTGGCGGTGCAGTCGACCAAGCTGAACCTGACCTACTCGCGCGACCACTCGGTCCAGGAGGGATTGGACCACATGGTGGCCTGGAATGGCGTCATGCTCCAGTCGGAGGACATTATGAAGGCCGCCACCGCCGCCATGGACCGCAAGGCGCCGCCGCCCGACTTCGCCAAACTGTAGACCGACCGATGGGGTGTCAGTCGGGTTGTTAGGGTTTATAATGAGATATTTATGTCCACTGGGCGTTGAACCGCTTTTGGCGATGAAAGCTGGATTTAGGGGCCTTTTGCGGCAGGGCTATTTTTCTGTCTGGACTTGATTTACATCGCACGTTGCTGAGGTGATCAGCTAGCTTCCGGCTTCTTAGACAAAACAGATTTATACCTCAGCACTGCCTGGTTGGGAAGTGCATTTACGATGCAATAGTAGAACGGGGAGTTACGTGCTGGGAATGGCCATTATGTCGAGACCGCTGAACTCATCAATGCAATGCTGGTGCTGTGTGGGGCAGCTGGTGCCGGGCTGCCCGTCCCGCCCCCTCCGCTGGACGGGCCGACCAACCCCGGCTGTTTTCGGGGCGTCCGGGGCCGTCTGTCTCTGTCGTGTAGTGTACCGCCGCCTTCGCCGGGGTGCTCCAACTGACCCGTAACCCTGCGCTGGAGCGCGCGCCGTGTGTTAACCGGTGCGTTCTGGCCAGAGGGGCTGCCTGGGATAGCCTCAGGGGCTTCTGCGCGATCGTCAGTAAACTACCTATGAGTAGCTGGATGAATACAAAGGAATTGTTCGACCAGCGTATTTTAAAGTGAAAACGTGAAACGGCAAGCGGTATGCTATCATAGCCAATCATAGCCAGGCCAGGGATGAATGCGCTGACGTCGAGGCGATTTCTTTCAGCGCCGCCATATCTCGTGCATTACAGTGGTTTTCTCCGGGCCGGAAATCGGAGCTCCGGCCTTCGCCCTGAGCCGCCCTTGTCTGGGGGCATGTGTCAAGTCCTTGATCGGCTCGCTGTAATTAAAAGTAGCAATGAAGCTATCGTCATGGTGCTGAGTGAGAGTCAGACCTATTCATGCATCGCTTCGCTGCATCGTTGCATCATCACTGCAATCGTGCCTTGTTGACCTTAGTCGGCGCCTTAATGCAGCGAGCGTTCCCAACATTTCTGCTGACAGGGGAGGCGCAATTACGACACCTTCCGGCCGAAAATGGGATGTAGTGTAGTGGCGACGCAAAATAGATAAATGAAAACTGTCCTTTAGACCAGACTGTCCTTTAGACCAGAAGAAAATTACAGCTGATTAAAAATTATACAGTCAGTCTTGAAACTACCGCACGTGTGCGGTAGATCCATCAAGCCCGACCGAGGAAGGGTTGTTAAATTTGAGAGTCACTGAACCAACTGACATCATCCATCCCCAGGTCAATTGGTTCGGTAACTCGAATTTAGCAGCCTTTTTTCAGTCGGGCTTTATGGATTCATCGCACCGATGCGCTGCTCTTTCAAGACCATAGGCGGCGGAACGGGAGGGCACCGGGGCACCGTGCCCCCCATTGATTTGGGAATTTTAGCCCTATGGGCGTTGCATGGAAAGAATAGGACCCAAAGTCGGCAGTACCCCCTTAACCCGCGCCGGGCCGGGGGGGGGGGGTGTTTGAACACCCCCTGCGGTTTTTCGCAGATATCTAAAAAACGACGGCGCGGAGCGCCGCCGTTTTTGGCACAGCTGTTCATGCATCTTTTCCGCACATGTTGTGAAAATTTCAGACCCATGTCATCTTAGGTCAGGTCATTAGGTCACGCCAAGTGGCCTCACCTCACAAAAAATAAGAATGTTCGTCATAGCTACACCGATTGATCGATTGCCTTGAAACTTTCAGCGATTGATTAAAGCAACATTATCTATAAAATGTATATCTCGGAATTTTGATATCGGTGACCTAAGGTCAGGTCAATTTTGCGGCCTCTCCATTAGGTAGGTATAGTCAATGGGAGAAAATTGAAAAGCGTCTGTTTTGCACGGACGCTATTCTAGACACTCTCAAACATCGAGATGTAGGTGAGATTGACACACTGAACCGGAAAATGGCAACTGTGACCCTTCGTTATGTCCCCGAGGTCATCTCAGGTCACGAACAGAATCTAACAGTTTTTCGCTAATAACTTCTGATAGACGCGTGCTAGAGCGCTGAATACGCCTTAGATGTGTTCGGCTCCACGTTGCGGATCGACTTATATGCAACATGACCTTTTCCGGTCAGGTCATGACCTTGACCTGAGGTCAAATTTTCATGTTGACCTTTCAAAGTCAAATTATAGTTCGTTCGACGCGTCTCGACGAGAGGAACACGATGCTGGCAAAAGTAATATCATGGCTCTTTTGAGTCAAAAGTTATTGCCGAAAAACTTTTTTCGTAAAAACGGCTATTTTTGGAGTTTTTGCCCTCTGGAGGCTAAACCGTTGACCTGAGGTCAAACCTGAGAACATTACTCAGAAAGGTCTGTATAAGGGCTATCGAATGTGCTATTCCGCGGCGCTGTAGCTCTATCGGTTCCCGAGATAGCCGTCGGCAGTTTCCAAAATGTTAAAATAGTCAACATTTTACCTTTGGTGACCTCTGGTGACCTGACCTTTGACCTGACCCAAAAAATGACCGAAGTGTTTTCGTCCTTATTTTGGACGTTCTTTCGATTGCCGCTTACCGCGTGTCGCTACGTGGCCCAGGAGCCGAGTTAGAAGGGGGGGATGTTTAGACACCCCCGGCCCGGCGCGGAATCTCAGAGCACCGGCCTGGCGCGGGTTAATTGAAGGTGTTCCGCCGCTACTGTTCAAGACTGACAATGCAAGCTACCTATATAAAATTTCAGGGCGGTCGTTGGATTGTTTTCACAATTGTAATTGAATTGAAAAGTCTCATCAACAAAAATTTACGAGAAAGGTACTTTATCTCTTATGTATCAGGTCACCGAACCTGGATTAGGCCAAAGGTAAAATTTGCCCGGCTTTGACAATTGTGAGACGATACAGCGGTTGGCGGTAGTTGACACAACTGTAGACAGGTCATATCTATAGAGAAGACTATCTGGGCTCTGGCCTCTGTGAAACAACGCAGTTACATGCGCAGCCGTAAATGCACATTTCAAACAGATTTTAAATTTAGAATATGGCACAGAGCTGCTGTATATCAATATGTTAATTAATGCATGGGCGCGTAATGACCCTAGAAGTAGGCGCGCCCTATCGCTCCAATAAACAAACAACCGCTGGCACTGGCGGTCGCAGCCGCTCGCAAAAGGGGGGGGGGGCCAAAGTCACACTCGCGGGACATAACATTTATCAGTCACCGGGGGGGGGGGGGGGGTGATCGGCTAATTTTTTACGTCCACGAGGCGCCGCGCAGTTGGCATTACTTATGCTTCATCCACCTCATTCTTGCGTGAAATCTTTAAGCTCAATTTAAGGCAAAAGCACCAGTTCCATTTCCCGTCCCACGGTGTTTCCACCGGTCGGGCCACTGCACCATGGCGACGGATCGGTGTAGCATATACTGGAAGGTCGGGCACGCGGATTCATGACCTTACCACAATAAAACAATTCGGAAAAGTACGGATACCTCTTGCTTTGAACAAGCATGTGAAACCCAGAGATCATTTTCAGACTATGACATTTACCCATATAGTTGTCTGGTGGCGGGAGAGAATAGGTACACCGACCTCTGGAGACCCCCGGCCCCACAGGTTACTGGTTTTCAAAATTGGCATCTGAGGGCCGCGCACGACTCGCGCGGGGCCTCGCAACGGCTCTATTGGGGCTCACTCAAGTCTCAACCTGCCTTATAGTCCTACTGCCAAAAAGACTGGCCCTGAGCCCTAAGGACTTCATCAGTCTCTGCCAGCCCCAGGACCCACACCGGCTCATGGGGTCCCGACGTCGAAATATGAGGGAATCTGCGCGGGACCATCAGATCAGGACGTAAAGTAATCTCGATCAGGACGAACGTACGGCTGTGCAGGAGTCTGCGTGAGCCCTGTGATCTTCAGAAGCCCACCCATGTATGTTTTCACTTAGAGGCCAGTTTAGGGCCCTCAGAGACCAGTACAGGGCCTGCAAACTGCAAAAGTTTGCAGTTATTTTGAGACCATCAGAGACCGAGTTGGGCTCTCGGAGGCTTATGTGGGTCCTACTCATTACAGGCCAACATGGGGCCCTCAGAGGTCAGCGTGGGGCCCTAAAAGACCGGAATGAGCCGTCGTTGGAACCCAGAGGCCAGCAGAGGGCCCTCAAAGGCCAAGATGAGCCCTCCTCAGAGGCCAATGCAGGCCCTTAGAGGCCAGCATCGGGTCTTCAGCAGCCAATGCGGGGCCCTCATTGGCACCTAAATGTTCGTCTTGGGACACCAGAGACAGCAATAAGGCCACTAGAGACCGGTGTGAGACCCTCAGACGCCGGTTGGGGCCCCTGAGGCCGGTAAGGGGTCCTCATAGGTCAGATGTGGGGCCTCAGAGGTCGATGTGGGCTCTTATCGGTCAACGTGGGCGCTTGACCGCCACTGAAGTTCCCTCAGAGGTCAGTGTTGGACGCTCAAAGACCGGTGTGGGCGTGTTTTTTTAGCCTCGTGACGATCGAATCAGGGCCAGGGTCCCATACACCTATGGGGGCCCATCGGTTGCTTGAGGGGGGGGGGGGGGCAAATGATATGATGGCCCCCTTTATGCCTTGGGAGGGCATGGCCCTGATGCCCCCCGCGACCGCCACTGTGTACACATTACATACAGGCCTCTGAAATTACATACTAGCTAATGCAAACTCTATGCAGGCCCCGGAGATCCCACGCTAATCCTTAAGAAACCAAGCCGGCATACGGCGTCACCACCGGGCTTCTGAGGTGCACAGCACCAACCCATGAGGTCTTACTTTAGTGTCTTAGAGCCACGCTCCTTTGGCAGGGCCCACCCACCACTGCCGAAGAGGTCTCATGCCAGCCATTGCTGGGCCTACGAGAGCCTCAGTAAACCCACGCTGATATTCCATGTAAGATGCGGCCATACTCGTGAACCGGTGCCAGCGACGCTGACCGCCAAATTGACAGAATACGAAACTGAGCCCACTCATGAGTGAAATTTACGTCCTTTGATGGCGCAAGAAAAAAATGAAACATACAAAAAGCTTTTCTAGGACTTTTGTTCTATCTGAAAGGTGGGGCCAAAAGATAGTATGGCCCCACCTTTCAGCACCAAAGGGGGGCCATGGCCCCCGTGGCCCCCCCCCCCTGGGACCGCCAGTGACCGCTGGTGATGCTCAACTGCATCTACTTTCCACACGTATTTTGCGTTGTGTCGCTTTGCCCTTCCGCCGTCAGCCGACTGAATGGCTGAGACTGGAATCACTGACAGGTAGGCTGTGCCGCACTACTCCGGAGCCCGGCGGAACAGCCTACCTACCCAGAGCGGGTTCATCATGCGCTGGAGACGGGCGGTCGGCTGCGCCGGGCGGCGGGCGCCCTCGTTGGAGACTTTGGGGGGCGGGAGACATTGCTGCACTGCTGTCGGTGCCCGTGCTGCGCGCTGGAGACACTGCCAAGTCGCGGCAGAGTTCCGTGTCCCGCCGAGGTCTAACCCAGACAATTGTGGTGCGATGTGGGCGAGACTTCCTCGAAAGGAATCCAGATAAATAATCGAGGAATACGTACTGCTAGAACGCTTGAAAAATAGAAAAATTATCAATGTTCAATAAAGTATGTTCATGTCTGATGCCATGTATGATATGTATGATATATATGAAATATGTATGATCATAGATAACATGACTGCTGTTATCTTATCTTAATGCTGATTCATGTTATCTATGGTATGATATATGATGTATGTATACCATACCGTACCAGTATAACGCCTTTTGGGGCGACTAACGGAGCGAGCGAGAGGGTGAGCCTTGCACGTGCGAAATTTCGACGGGGTACCTCCAGCTGACTTGTGCACGGCACCCTACTAACCGGTCTCTAGCGATGTGCCAAATTTGAGCACAATCGGCCCAGCCGTTCTCGAGATCTGGAAGCGGCACCCTGCACGTGCGCACGTGCAAAATGGGTCCCAACTGACCTTTGCACGGCACCCTACTAACCGGTCCCTAACCATGTGCCAAATTTGAGCGCCATCGGTCCAGCCGTTCTCGAGATCTGGAATCGACCCCTGCACGTGCGCACGTGCAGCAGCACCCCAATTCTGGCACATGGATATGCATTGCTTAGTGGGTGCCTACCTACATGCCAACTTTCAGCGCAATCGGCCAAGTAGTTACCGAGATATTGCAACAATTACAAAAGTGACACCTCTTCGTTTTGCACGTGGCACGTGCATAAGGGGTCACCCACATGCATCGGGAATAGTCCAATACTTAGTAGAAGGAATGAAGCTACCCTACAAAAATTACCGCGTGTAAATCGGTCAAGTGGTTGCTGAGATATAAGCGTCGCAAAAGCGTGACCACGGCCGGCCGCTCATACTCAGAAATTTCCGTTAATCTAAGGAAAGACTACGCTCGCTTCGCTCGCTCCGTAATTATCCCGCACCGTAGACAGTGTTTACAATTGCTTCACGTGCAAAGAGAGAAAATTATTCAGCTGTCGTTTAACTGATTTGTTAAACGTCTTGACGATTAACAAACTGTTTAACGCTTGGTTAAACGTCTAGTAGACATTTCGTCTAGTCTGAATTATGTCGTATTTTTTTAATATAAAATGTATTTTTACCTGTAAGCGCCCGAAAGATATCGGCGGTACGGGATAAAATTATTAAACCGCTCGTAGGTAGAAAAATATTTTGAACGTCTTACCTATCGGCTCGACGTTTCAAAGATTTGTTCTACCTGCTCGCGGTTTATATAATACCGATTACCTAGCTATACCGCTATTATGGCCGTCTCTGGAGTTATGTGAAGGTAAACAAACAAGCACATTTTGCCGGGGAGGACCACACCAGTCAAAGAATCAGCCCCATTTGGTAAATTGGACATATTTAATATTTATGCCAACAGTACATATCTTGTGTGTCACGTCGTTCGGTCCTTCAATGTGCATATATTAAACTCACTTTAATATGATTGTCACGTTTTGAAGCCTGCCTGAATGTTATGTCCGTTAATCGTTTTGGACGATTGAAGGCGATAATCGAAAAAGTTGTGTGAAAGACCAGCGTGTTAACCTTCGTGTGTTATGGTAGCCCACACAAATTTTGGACCGGTGCATGTGCACTTGAGGTATTCGGCAGGCACGAGCGGTGATTCGGCATTTTGTTGGTTCGTGGTTCAGTGATTGAGCGGTTCAGTAGTTCAGTGGTTCGGTGATTCGATGTTTCGTTGGTTTGGTTCGTAGTGCAGTGATTCAGTGGTTCAGTAATTCAGTGGTTCGCTGGTTTAGTGGTTGGTATTTCGTTTGGTTCAGTGGCTCGGTGATTGGTATTTCGGTTGGTTCAGTGGTTTGGTATTTCGGCTGGTCAGTGGCTCGGTGATTCAGAGGTTCGGTGGTTCGTTGCTCGCCGGGCCGATACCGCCCTGTTGGATCCGGGAGCGGCCCGTCCAGCGCGGCGCTCGCGGCCGGCCCCGGCGCGACGCTGGCGCGCTATTTCTGGCGCGCCTCTGGCACGGGGCGGGCTGCCGTCGACCCTGAGGGCCCGGAGCAGCGGCCGGAGCACCGGAGGGGGCTGGCAGCCGGCCGGGCGCTGTCCCACACGGCCCGGCCGGCCGCGCCAACCCCCCCCCCCCCCGGCTGCCAGACGAAGTGGGGCTGGCCGGAGTATACGTGATGGATTGAAATGAATTTCACCTCATCGAGTGGGACAGACGACATGGACTTCGTCGGGACGCCTCAGCCCGTTCTGCGCCATTATGCTAAATAATTGATTGTGTTAAATCAGTTTGCAAACAGCAAAAGTACCTATTGGTAGTTAATCACGACCTGGAATATGCACATCGTTACTTTGCACTCTCGGCTATTACCACAGCCTATCGCCTAGTAATGTCCAATCTACGTTTGGCGCGAGTCGTTGTAGGCGTTGTTGTTTTTTGTTACTTTCATTTTAACCCTATAATAATATTGCATTTAAAGTTGAATGCATTTTTAGGATTCCGGACTGTATGTGTAATTATATCCATGGTGTGCCTATATTTCGTGATGACGCAAAATGTTATAACTCGTGCCAACAATCAAAAGGTCCGAAATATGACTGTTATTTATTTCGAAGACTAAAGACGCGTTGCATTTGCTTTAGAGTTATTTAATACGTTTATTTTCTTATTTAAATTCAATCTTTTTCCGCAACATCATAAACATTTTAAATGCATCCAATAGGAATGATAAAATGACTTAAATTAAAGCAGCGTCAACCAAAATCAGAATGTCTAACAATGGTAGAAAACGTGTAGTGCGTAACGTTTAATTCTTTATTATTGATTCTCTGGCCCCTCCGCCTACCCGCGCTGTTCGTTCTGTCTGTATTGCCCGCTTGGTCTAGTAGAGCCCCAGCCTGCGCCGCTGCCCGTCAGCCTGCGCCGCTGCTCGTCTAGTAGAGCCCCAGCCTGCGCCGCTGCCCCTCAGCCTGCGCCGCTGCTCGCCTAGTAGAGCCCCAGCCTGCGCCGCTGCTCGTCGATGTCCTGCTGCCGGCGGCGCCGGTTGGCCCGCGCGATGATGTCTCTGATGTCGTCGAGCTCGGCGCTGTGACCGACGCCGGTACCGTCGGCGGCGAGCGGGAAGCGCGGGTCGAGCAGGTCGCGGCCGGTGGCCGGCTGCGCCCAGTGCGGGTGCGCGCCGGAGCCGGCGGGGGTCACGCCGGGTACCGGGCGACTGTCGTGGTCACCTGCCGACCAGCGGTACACAGAGTGGTCACACGGGCGTGCGGCGGTTTCACGGAACGGGCGGCGGTTTCACGAGCGTGCGGCGGGTACTCGGGGACGCTTTGGGGCTAAACTAACTAGCAGCAGCGCTAGCTGTACGTCTCCACTGCACTAGTGACGAGGTACAGAGATATTCTAAACATATAGCTATAGACTAGACAGTACGTTTAGTTCTATCGACATTAATAACGTGCATCTGTGCATGTGTAACAAACACTGTCCTCTATCACATAAACAAGGTCCTGGGCGTGCCTTGGTTTTGGAGCACGTTTATTGTTCAAGCCGTTTTGTATGCCTACAATTACATAGTACCTATGCACATTGCACACAATGGTAAAACACAACAATATTTTCTGAGTTTTCACACTGCCTAACCTGCATCTATAGTCAGCCGGTAACAGTTTAAAGTTAAAGTTAGGGTACATTATCACTAAAATGACATTAGGCATATTTTCAACGTTTGTATTCTGCATAAAAGATGTTGGGCATGCCAAGACTGAATCAGAGATTAATGCATTGCATGCGTATCAAGTGGCCGGTTCCATGCTTAGAATAGAGAGGGATTATTTCTTATTTCCCTGGTTTCCCGCGCTTCACTGATGCCGCTTAGGTGCTTACCGTTCAATGGCGATCAGCTCCCTCCTTCGCTGTCGGCTTTCGTAACGTTGAAACTTGAATGCACGATATTCGTGTTCAGCAGGCTTAGAGCGACGGCGATCATGAATGTACATAAGTGGAATGCAACGCTGCGCTCTGGTTCAGCTGTGATTCAACTTACATTTACGAAGATTCTTTTGATTTGTATCTCGCATTGTTGAATATATGCAGGTTACGAATGTTGTACTCCGCAATCTGCGTAGTAATTGCCGCAGTGACACGGCTGACGGCCTGTTTTAGCGGTACCGTTATCCAGTACTGTGTGTTGTCGGGTACCTCGATCACTTGGACACCACACCGTGTATTTATTGGTAAAACACCATAGCCACAGCGCTGTCAGCGTCAGTCCTGTCGTCGTTCGGTGCAGTCAGCTCGGCCAGCTCAGCTCAGCTCAGCTCAGCGCCGGCGCGGCTCGTCAGTCGTCCGCCTATACTCATCCGCCGACCGAGCGGCGGGCCGCGGCCCTCCTCCCTGCTCGGCGCCGGGTCGCGGGGACCCGCAGCGCCGCGGGCGCCGCCGCCGCCCCCAGGCGGGTCACCCGCCAGACGGCGGCGCCCGCGGCCACCTCGCGCGCGCGCGCTCGCTCGCGCCGCTCAGAAGCGCGCCATGCGCCGGTCGGCGTCGGCCTTGAAGTCGCGGTGGCGCCGGCGCGCCCGGTCGATGATGTCGCGCACGTCGTCGGGCAGCGTGACGCCGTCGAGCGGGTCGGGCGCCGTGAATGGCTCCTCCTTGTCCTTCTTGAAGAAGGGGTCGCTGAAGGGGTCCTTGCCGGCGCCGAGCGGCGACGGCGGCTCGGCGGCGGCGGCGGCGCTCGGTGGCGTGCGCAGCCGGCTGCGCGGCGCCGCCGGCAGCGTCGGCTCGCCGCGCACCGGCGTCGTGTCGCCGTGGTCACCTGGAGTCACAGGCCGGCGTTAGTGGTTAGTGGGCGGACCGGCCACCCCCCCCCCCCGCGTGTGTGTCCCGGCATACAGACCACGGGCTGAAACAGGCCGGAGCCACAGGATAAATGGTATTTGGAGCTTCACAGGTGAAACTTAGATACATACGAGCATTTAATTGTTACCATAGGCGGCGGAACGGGGGGGGGGGGGGCACCGGGGCACCGTGCCCCCTTTGATTTTGCCATTTTAACATAAGCCCTATGGGCGTTGCATGGAAAGAATGGGACCAAAAGTCGGCAGTGCCCCCCCCCCCCCTTAATTGATGGTGTTCCGCCGCTACTGATTGTTACTTACAAATGTGTCACGTAAATGGGATCTAAGGTCATGTCATTGCTTTAGCTAACATACCTAGGTTTAATTTTCACGAGTAAGCAAGAGCATAACACAGCTGGACATACGGTACGATTTAATCACATCTCGTCTTTCGCTGACTGCAAGAACACTGACGGGTTTGTCGGATCAAAACAACTTAGGTAGCAGTCAGTTCGCAATTTTTTGACAGTAAAAGGTGAAACACGTCTAAGCAGAAACTCAAAATCACTCAGATATTATGGCCTTATTTTAATGGATAGGTATAAACCTTAAACGTTAGGCTTTAACTCAGCTGATGGCGAAACGGTGGGGGAGGGGAGGGGATACCGCCCGCCCTGTTGTCGGCCGGAGCGTTTGTATGTAGAAAACCGATAGGTTTTCATTGAATAGTCTCATTGAATAAACATAATCAAGCCTTCCATAAATTTTGGTAGGCGCTGAGGATTAAAGACGAAACGATAGAGCGGGGAGCGTGCGCGTTCCATGTGATAAAGCCAGGGTTGTGCTCGACTAAAAAAAATTTGCCGACTCGACTCATCATTCAACTTCAGAAAGCCCTGACTCAACTCTGACTCAAACAAGGAGCTGATTTTTTCCCTTGACTCGACTCATGACTCAAGCGGCTCAATGAAAATATGAGTCGACTCAAACTTGACTCAAATTTTTTGTTGAGTCAAGTAAGTTGACTCAAAATTGACTCAGATAAAAAAGTTGTTGAGCGGGGCGGGGGTGAAAAAAATTCCGGCAGCAGGGCCAGGGCAAAGTTGTTAAGCGGGGTGTGGGGATGAAAAGCTTGTTTCTAGAAAGTTGAGTCAGCTGACTCATTGTTTGACTCAACTCGATGTCAAAATTATTTTACTGACTCAACTCTGACTCAACTCAACGCCTTAATGTTTTTGTCCGACTCAACTCCGACTCAACTCAACAGTTCAACATTTTATCCGACTCGACTCAAATCTGACTCATTTGAGTCAGAGTTGAGTCAAATTTCTGACTCGACTCATGAGTCAAGCACAACCCTGGATAAAGCATTGCAAAACGAATTAGCAATTATCAGTCCTACTCTCATCGTCATCCTACTTGCATGATCCTCTTCAAATTCAACTACCCATCGCCACATTGAGACAGTTTCTACAAGCCGGTGGTCATTTTGGTGGCGGTGCTGCTCCTGCTGATAATACGAGCAATCATGTTAGCAAACAAAAGCGTGTCCCAACTTTCCTACAAAAATTGAAGCAAATCAAGCTGAAACATCCGTTTCTTTATACAGCATTTTGATTTAGGTGCATGGAAATATATCCAGACCTATGAGCCATCTAACTGTTGGGTCTATTTGAGTGCTAGACAGTGAAAAGGTCTGGGCGGTCTGGGCTTGGCTGTCACTCCGCTATGCTCACAATTAACAAACAGCTTTGTGTCTACCGTAGTAGGTCCTACGTGCATACCGTTTACGAACAGGTATACACTTAACACTAGCGTCCAGTTAAGTATAGGATGATGTTCCATTCCGCACAAGCTATCAGTTGCCTAAAATACTTATTTGTACCGACTCTTCCGCAGTTACGCACGTCTTTGTCGTCTGTCGAGCAGGGACAGAATGTGTCGCTCGCTCAGTCCAAGTGATGCGGCACAGCCTACCATTCCAGGCATCTGGCTGCCCGTGATAAGTGGAAAGTCATTCTGTGGCCTACTGCACTTCCATGATTCCATCCAACCATACTGAGGACTGAGGAGGCCCGACAATCCCAACTGCCAGAAGTGAGCCAACTATCGTTCTTCTCCCCATTGAAGAAGTGCACCATAGGCCATAGCCGCCTACAATATCATTTAATCAAGCTCCTATCTCTCGCACACATCTACTTATAAAAACGCCAGGCTGGTGAGCATCCCTCTTTGTAAATTGTAAGCGCCTAAGCAGGGTCAAAGCACAAAGACAGGGTCACTCTCACTTCCAATGCATCTAAGTAGATTCAGGAAAGAACTGACTCTAGGTATTCGTCTCGAAGCCAGGGACATGGCTAATTTGTGCGTTCTGGGTCCACCTACAAGCACGGTAATAAAAAAAACGCATTGAAGTATAAATACTTGCGTCTTTTTCCAATGTCTATTCTATTCATCATGGAGGTGCGACTATCTCCAAGTCTAGCCATCTTAGAGGTAGGACCATGGCAAGATCTAATTATGGTAGGTGCAGATGCGACTAACCAAGGACCAAGGTCTAAGCATCGAATAGCGGCGCGACTATCTTCAGGTCTATCCATCTCCGACTATCTTCTGTCGACACACCCGTGGCGCTGCTGCGGGGTCGCTCTAGCAGCCAGTCGGCACCACACGCTGCGGCTAGGTGTCGGGACAGTGAGCTGGTCACCGCCGCTACGGGGAGGGGCGCGGACGGGTACGGTCCGGTCGGGAGGCGGGTGGCTCGGACTCGGACCCAGCCTGCAGCCGGAGGGTTCCTCAGATAGCTGCCCAGTCAACCCCACGCGTCGACGGACGCTACCCCTACATGGTCTGTCCCCGGCTCTACTGAAGGCGGGTGCTACCGGCGCTACCGGCGCTACCGGTGCTAGCGGTGCTACCGGTGCTAGTGATGCTACCGGTGCTACCGGTGCTAGCGGTGCTCTAGGCGGAGTGCTAGCGTGCTCTGCTCTGTCTTGGATGGCCTTACGACAGCGGTCGGTCGCTCGGTCGGTCGGCGGCGGCGCGGGTCGGGTCTAGTTGAGGGCCGAGTACTGGGGCACGGCCGGCGCCATCTTCAGCTGGTAGACGGGCCGTGTCTCCACCACATTGACCAGTGCCTGGCGCACCTCGACGCTGCGCTTGGAGGTGGACACTTCGGCGCTGTACTCGGGCGCCACGTGGATGGCCTCGCTGGAGAGGGGCGGCGTGACCCCGCGCAGCGCCCGCGACTCGGCTGCCGGGGTCGGGTCAGCCGACAGCGGTCAGCGGAGGTCAGTGGAGGTCAGCCGGCAGCGGTCAGCGGAGGGGAACCAGCGGAGGTCAGCCGATGATGGTCAGGCCGGGTCTCCGCTCAGCTTACAGCAGGACCAGGGAGAGGGTTTGAGGAACGTGTACGTTAGATGCATACAATTAGAGCGGCATTAGTTAAACCTGAAGCGTCTGTTTCTCTTCGTTACTTCTCTGCAAAAGATTTAACAGAATCTTTTGACTGTCAGGAAATCACATGCGTGAGCCTATTCAAGTGCACCAAGTACCTACCGCTCGCATCAATCGCATGCACCCCCGTGCGTTCATACAAGCGAAAGCTAATGTATTTGAATAGGCTCTTTGTCTTGCACTTGCATTAGATTTCCCGACCACCGAAAGCCTGTTTCACCCATAAAAGGTGATGTCGCCGGAGACGAATTGCATCCGAAACGTCCAAGTTTCGACTAATAGAACATTTGTCTATTTTCTACACCTTTTGAAAAAGCAATAATATTTAGGTATAATGTCAGCACATATCTTTATGTCGTTCAGATGGGATGAGATACCTATAGAGTCCATTTAACTGAAGTCACATCGTTCGTTTCCATCACCAGTACCTATCAACTCCCTGCCTATAAATGGTTTCCGTGTTTTCTCTTCAGTCACAGCCAAACGCCAGATAAGCTGGAATGCCGCTGGATTCGACAGCATCGTAACTCAATATTCCGGATGTTTTCCTTCCACACGGTTTTGGAATCCGAACAAAGCAAGCACACAACTGCGCACATGGCCGGCCTATTGAACTTTGGCAGGCTGGTTGAAATTCTGCATCCCAGCTCGATTACCGGGTCGCATGAGTACATCATTCTCCATTTGGTAAATGCGACAACCTCTTCCATACTTACAACAGGCAGTTAAATTATAACTACCGCTAAACCCTTAATAAATATTGGGATTATGTTGGCAGTAAAACGCATTAGGGAGAGAAAAACATTCGATTACATACACATAGGTATTAAAAACTGCAAAGCAAACGACAAAAACGATGAATGCAGGATTTAAAACGAACATTATGCTCGTATGCATGCTCGTTTTCTAGCCCAGTCGTCTGTTTCAGGTCAGCTTGACTGACGTCTCTTAAAAGGCCGGTGTTGTGATTGCGCTGTCCAAACGATGTGCGCGGGACAGCCGGCGGTGGGTGCTCCGTACCGTCCGCGCTGGCTGCGATCATATCCCGCGGCCAGCCGGCCGGAGCGGCGGAGCGGCCCCGTCAGTGGCCCCCGTCCCTCGGAGCCGTGCCAGCCAGTGGGCGCCGTGTTAGGCGGGCTCCGTCCGACGGCCAAAAATACCCGCCCGCCGCCCACCGGCCGGCCGGCCGGCCCGCTGGCGCCGACACCTCTGAGTGGAGAGTTGACCAACTGACACCTCTGAGTAGGACTGACCAACCGACACTTCTTAGTGGAGGACTGACCAACTGACACTGTGAGTGGAGAGTTGACCAGCTGACACCTCCCAGTTGGAGTTAACCAACTGACACCTCCCACTTGGAGAAATGACCAAATGACACCTCCCAGTTGGAGAGCTGACCAACTGACACCTCCCAGCAGGAGAGCTGACCAAATGACACCTCCCAGTTGGAGGACTGACCAACTGACACCTCCCAGTTGGAGAGCTGACCAAATGACACTCCTAGTTGGAGGACTGACCAACTGACACCTTGCAGTTGGAGAAATGACCAAATTGACACCTCCAAGTTGGAGGACTGACCAACCGACACCTTCGAGTAGGAGGACTGATCAACTGACACCTCTGAGTTGGAGAAATGACCAACTGACAGGTCTCCCAGTTGGAGAAATGACCAACTGACACCTCCCAGTTGGAGGTAACCACCAGGCCCTCCCCCACCCCCTGAGCTGCTCAGTCCCAGTTGTAGTCGAGCTCCTTCGCCCTGTCCGTTTGCTGCCCTGACGGGCCGCGGTGACGGACACTGCAGACTGCCTGTGGAGACGGGCAGCTCCATGGCCTGTGAGTGGGGTCTGTGGAGACGGTCTGCACTCTGCTGAGTACTGTGGAGGTCTGCTGAGTACTGTGGTGACGGTCTGCTGCACGGCATGTGGTGACGGTCTGCTGAGTACTGTGGTGACGGTCTGCTGCACGGCCTGTGGTGACGGTTTGCTGAGTACTGTGGTGACGGTCTGCTGAGTACTGTGGAGGTCTGCTGAGTACTGTGGAGACGGTCTGCTGAGTACTGTGGAGGTCTGCTGAGTACTGTGGAGGTCTGCTGAGTACTGTGGAGGTCTGCTGAGTACTGTGGAGGTCTGCTGAGTACTGTGGTGCGGTCTGCTGAGTACTGTGGTGACGGTCTGCTGAGTACTGTGGTGACGGTCTGCTGCACGGCCTGTGGTGACGGTCTGCTGAGTACTGTGGTGACTGCTGAGTACTGTGGTGACGGTCTGCTGAGTACTGTGGTGACAGTCTGCTGAGTACTGTGGTGACGGTCTGCTGAGTACTTTAGTGACGGTCTGCTGAGTACTGTGGTGACGGTCTGCTGAGTACTGTGGTGACGGTCTGCTGAGTACTGTGGAGGTCTGCTGAGTACTGTGGTGACGGTCTGCTGCACGGCCTGCGGTGACGGCACGGCCGACAGACCGTCCTGGCGGCAGCTGGAGCCAGCGGCAGGCACACCGGTGACGTCCCGCCAACCGCCGGCGTCAGTGCCAAGGCCGACTGCGTTTGGCATCGAGAGACGACAGTGGAGCCAGCCGAGCGCCGGGCTGGAGCCAGCCGAGGGTTAATGGAACCAAACCAACACCGAGAGATGTCACTTGAGCCAGCCGAGGGCCTGGCTGGAGCCAGCCGAGGGCTAATGGAACCAGTCGAGGGTTAGTAGAACCAGCATCGAGCTATGACAGAGAGCCAACTGTCTTCTGCTGTCTTCAGTCAACCGTTAATGCCTGACTGGAGCCACTGAGAGCCGGACTTTAAGCCAGTCGAGAGCCGGACTGGAGCCAGCTGCGATCTCACTGGAGCTAGCGGCGATCCCACTGGAGCCAGTCGAGTGGTTCACCGGAGTCAGCCGAGCGTTTCACTGGGGAAAACTGCTCAATGCTCATCCCACTGGATCTAACCGAGTGTCTCCCTGGATGTAGCCGAGCGTCTCACATTATCTATAGTCGAGCATCTCATTAGATTCCGTCGAGCATCTCACTTGGTCCAGAAGAGTGGCTTATACGATCCAGTCTAGTGCCTCACTGAAGGCAAGTGTTTAACGAAAGACATCAGAGTGTCTCACTGTGGGAAGCCGACTGTCTCAGTAGAGGAAATCGTGGGTCTGACCAGCGGAAATGTACTGTCTTATTAAAGGAATTCCTGAGTCTCACTGAAGAGTGAAGACAGCGCTATAATTGCATATGAAGGGCTTGTAGTGCATTATACTGCCAGATTATGTCGCCAGATTATGTCGCCAGATTATGTCGCCAGATTATGTCGCCAGATTAGCAGGCATAACTGTATCTGGTAGATACAGTTATGCCGTTTACGCAAGCAACAAATGCCCCTATGTTTGACATTTCGGTGATTTAAATCTAAATGAAATTAAAAGAAAGACAAAAGCGCAATGTGATAGATACGCAAGCATGCCGCAAATGTAAAACATCTCATACTGTTTTACTTCATCGTGTATAATAATGTTATTGCCATAGAAAATCGTAGCGTTTGGCCGATATTGTTAATTCGCTGCGGCAGTTCTGTTATGGGTGCCGATGTTGTTATTATCGCAGCGTGATGAGCAGACGGCGGCACCTCGGGTCGGCCGGCGTCCTACCTTTGAGGCCCTTCATGTAGTTGAGCCAGAAGCCGGCATTGCGCTCCAGCGGCCGTCCGATGGTGTACAGGTCGAGGTCACGCTTCCAGTGCACCATGGCTGCACTCCTGTGGAAGGGGCCAGTCCGGTCAGTGGTGTACCTACAGGTCGAGGTCACGCTTCCAGTGCACCATGGCTGCGCTCCTGTGGGAGGGGTCAGTCCGGTCAGTGGAGGGGTAGAAGGTTATATGGGGCAAATATCAGATACCTAATAGGTAGCCAAAATATTTAATTACCTGAAATCACTAATGTTCCGTACAGCTGGAGTCCGAAACCATTTTTATGTTAAAAAAAAGAAAGGTACCGTAAAGTGGGGCTATTTGAAACGGATTTTACAGTTTTTGGCCTCTCCCTTTAAGACGGTTCATATTTCTTATAGCATGTAAATTGCAAAAATGTAGTTCCCTGTGAGCTCTTTCATATAGGTGCATTTTGGTTCAGCTAGTAATAATGATTAAGGATATTTTGTTAGCTAAAGCCTGTCTCAAATGGCCCCATAGGGTGGGGCTATTTGAGACAGTTTTAGTTACGAAGAAATTGAACAAAATCGGTCACGCTAGAAATAGTTTTTTAAACGCCATCCGATTGGAAATTAAATTCTGATCATTCTGGCGAAAATTATTTTTGCAAAGACAATTATGTTTCCTTTGTATTCAATATTTTCCTTTTTCGTAGGATGCTTCATTTCGGTAGGTTATAAAATTGCATCACTACATGCTAAGGCTATCATAATATGATGTGACCCTAAACTTTCAAAATGACAGGATGATCATTAAGGACCATTTCAAAGTCAACGACAGTAAAATTTTGGAAGACAGTTTTTGTATATAACCCTGGTGGCGTGAAAACAGATATACTGGAAGTCGGTGGGGCTATTTGAGACAGACTCGCTACCTTATGAGGCACACTGTAATGAATCAAATGAGCTATAAGATTTCCCAAAACATTTAAGTGAATGGTCTGCATGATTCCTTGTTCAATTGCACATCTTCATGCGAAGAAATAACAGAAAAATGTTAAGCGGTTTTGATTTTATGCCGATTTTGCTCGATCGCTGCATGCTATAGCAATTAACCGGTTACCCTACCACATCAAGTACCTACTTGCATAGGCTCACCTAACAGTATCGTTCATGTGTTAAGTAATCTTCAATGGTGTTTTTGGTTAACCAAGGCAGACATGTGTTGATTGTCGACTAAGTCAGTGACTGATGAAGCACATTTTAAGGACATATTCATCAGAATAACTAGATTGGTCACCAGCTAAAGGGTCATTAGGGTAGCCTGGGGCAAGACGCCCCAGATAATTTATTTTGCTACATAAATTTTGTCCCACATCACCTGAAAGGCCAAATTTGTGCTCAATGCGTTCTTTGGACATTTTACTTTAAATTGCACCCCTCAAATTGATTCACTTATGATCGGACTCCAAGCTAGGAAGTGATTTGTGAAGCAACTGCAAATGGGGCATTTTGCCCCAACCCCAGGGCAAAACGCCCCGCGGCCTGGGGCAAGTAGCCCCATACCTTAGATTAAAGATTTAACATGGTAGTTGGCTAAATCTTATGTGAGAGGTCCGTTAGACCTCTGGAGGCACGGCACTGAAGTTAGCACATTCCATCCTTTCAGGTGCTCAGCATATGACACTGTTGTATGAGCAGGTTTTTCACCTACCTCATAAGACCAAATAATAAATTATTGCAATGCAAATGTTAACAAAATACTTCCTTTGCCATCCAGTTGCTGAGAAAAATACACATAAAGGCATAGAAACTTACTGTTCGCCAGCTACCGAACATTAGAAAGTGGGTAGCCCCAACAATACAAGAGGTAAAACGCCCCAGGGGCTTTTTGCCCCGCGACCTTCTGGGGCGTTTTACCCCATCACGTAGTTCGGTCAGAGAACAACGCCTTGCACTCCAGTAAGACATAATTTAACACGAACCAACCCGGCATGATAAGCGTCAGACAATAGTTGTTCAAAATACATAAAAGTCGTTAACCTAATGTGGACCATAAAAGAACGCCATGATTCATAATCTGACAACAAAACATAAAAATCACTCAAAAAACACATTTTTAGCTATATCTCCCGAAAGAGTCATCACAATTTCTTTCCAGTCTGCTCATATAATGATCATATAGTGCACGTTTTATAGAAGAGATGATGTTTCCCCAGAACCCTGCCAGTTCCGAGAAACATCGGTGAGGCGTTTTACCTCGGCGGGGCGACTTGCCCCGGTCTACCCTATGTTATACTGCGAACATGTAAATATTGGTTGCTACTAAAAGTACCCAACATGAGCCCACTGTACGTTTGTGACCACGACCGATTCACCGGTGTTGCTCATGTCGAAAGTTCGATGCACTTCAAGTAGATGGTGGTAAGTCTTCTCGGGTGCAATCGCACCACCATTATCAGTAGCTATTTGCATATCGGTTGAGGTTTGACCAGGTGGGCATCATCGGGATTCTGAGACAATGGGTTACGCAATCGGCAGTAACGTTAACAATGTATAATATTTTCATGAAAAATGGGCTTAGCCTATGAGTAAAATGGTAGTAACGATAGATGCAGTGCCGAAGCTGTTAAAATTTCAACTATGTTAAGCTGCAGGTAGGGGTCCTTTTCGAGCAACTGAAATTGTGCGTTTTTCTGTATTTCGTATTTTATGCCAAATTTCTTTCAAAATTTTCGAGATTTTCAAAAAGGTTATTCAGGTCATTCACTGTTCAATTCCACATCAGCCTAAGCAAAAATGGCGAAAAAATATCAAACGGTTCTCATTTTACAGCGATTTTACTAACCCACTACCTTACTGTCTCAAATAGCCCCACTGTCTCAAATAGCCCCACTTTCCGGTACGTAGGTAGGTAGGTAGGCGAAAGGTAGGCTGAAAGGTTGGCGGAATAAACATCACAAAAGACGCGTGAAATGGCATTGACGTCACCATTTTGTAAACCCGGTTCTTCCCTCGTCGTTTATGTTTACATAAACACCCACTTCCACAGTGTCCTGTTATGAAGCCGTCTCACGGTGCAATTCTAAACTGTTTACATATGGCCGCTGACAGGCAACAGCCGCGGTCATAATTTCAACTCCGTTAAATATATGTGCAATATGCATTCCATGTGTAGGGTAGACCGGGGCAAGTCGCCCCGCCGAGGTAAAACGCCTCACCGATGTTTCTCGGAACTGGCAGAGTTCTAAGGGAACATCATCTCTTCTATAAAACGTGCACTATATGATCATTATATGAGCAGACTGGAAAGAAATTGTGACGACTCTTTCGGGAGATATAGCCAAAAATGTGTTTTTTGAGTGATTTTTATGTTTTGTCATCAGATTATGTATCATGGCGTTCTTTTATGGTCCACGTCAGGTTAACGACTTTTATGTATTTTGAACAACTATTGTCTAACGCTTATCATGCCGGGTTGGTTCGTGTTAAATTATGTCTTGCTGGAGTGCAAGGCGTTGTTCTCTTCTCTGACCGAACTACGTGATGAGGTAAAACGCCCCAGTAGGTCGCGGGGCAAAAAGCCCCTGGGGCGTTTTACCTCATGTGTTGTTCGGGCTACCCACTTTCTAATGTTCGGTAGCTGGCGAACAGTAAGTTTCTATGTCTTTATGTGTATTTTTCTCATCAACTGGATGGCAAAGGAAGTATTTTGTTAACATTTGCATTGCAATAATTTATTATTTGGTCTTATGAGGTAGGTGAAAAACCTGCTCATACAATAGTGTCATAGCTGAACACCTGACAGGATGGAATGTGCTAACTTCAGTGCCGTGCCTCCAGAGGTCTAACGGACCTCTCACATAAGATTTAGCCAACTACCATGTTGAATCTTTAATCTTAAGTATGGGGCTACTTGCCCCAGGCCGTGGGGCGTTTTGCCCTGGGGTTGGGGCAAAATGCCCCATTTGCAGTTGCTTCACAAATCACTTCCTAGCTTGGAGTCCGATCATAAGTGAATGAATTTGAGGGGTGCAATTTAAAGTAAAATGTCCAAAGAATGCATTGAGCACAAATTTGGCCTCCCAGGTGATGTGGGACAAAATTTATGTAGCAAAATAAATTATCTGGGGCGTCTTGCCCCAGGCTACCCTATCCTGAACGATAACGGATAACGGGGATATTCTCACGTACCTAATTCTTTATCATGTCGCGCCAGTTAACCTCATCTGATGAGAACGCACACGATCGTCCTTACTGTTACATCGGTACCTCATGAGCGAATATTCAAACATTCACAATTCTGAAACCATATTCTTGAGCTATTTGTAGATTATCGATGCATATAAATAAAGCCTCCATTAATTTTCTAACATCCCATACCTATTCCGTAAATACCTACCAGTATAACGCCTTTTGGGGCGACTAACGGAGCGAGCGAGAGGGTGGGCCTTGCACGTGCGAAATTGCAAGGGGGTACCTCCAACTGACTTGTGCACGGCACCCTACTAACTGGTCTCTAGCGATGTGCCGAATTTGGGCACAATCGGCCCAGCCGTTCTCGAGATCTGGAAGCGGCACCCTGCACGTGCGCACGTGCAAAATGGGTCCCAACTGACTTGTGCACGGCACCCTACTAACCGGTCCCTAACCGTGTACCAAATTTGAGCGCAATCGGTCCAGCCGTTTCCGAGATCTGGAAACGACCCCTGCACGTGCGCACGTGCAGCAGCACCCCAACTCTGGCACATGTATATGCAGTGCCTAGTGGGTGCCTACCTACATGCCAACTTTCAGCGCAATCGGCCAAGTAGTTACCGAGATATTGCAACAATTACAAAACTGACACCTCTTCGTTTTGCACGTGGCACGTGCATAAGGGGTCACCCACATGCATCGGGAATAGTCCAATACTTGGTAGAAGGAATGAAGCTACCCTACAAAAATTACCGCGTGTAAATCGGTCAAGTGGTTGCTGAGATATAAGCCTCGCAAAAGCGTGACCACGGCCGGCCGGCCGGCCGGCCGGCCGCTCATACTCAGAAATTTCCGTTAATCAAAGACTACGCTCGCTTCGCTCGCTCCGTAATAATGAGCAAAAATTCCATG